GTATATATAATATATATATATGGACCTTATATATCATATAAGGTATATATTATATATATATATTAATATATATTTGTATGTATGTATATGAAATAGAATTCTGGAGAGTATTGTTGGGAGCGAGGCAATGTACATTATAAACTATTAATAAGTTGTTTGTATACAAAATATTTTGCAGGGGAAACCCCATTTTCAATTACTGTATATTTATCTTTAAACGCAGGTAGACCTATGTCTATATATTAATTTTGCCTGTTGCCCTGGAAATAGTAAACTTCATCACAAGTTGTACAAATTATATACGGTACTCTTCGCTTATGAATATTATATAACAAGAAGCATTATTAGAAATAGTGATCATAAAAATAATAAGTTGACAAGTAGTTATTATAACAATCGGAGGATATATTATATTTAAACACATAACTCACCTCTTAATTATGAGCACGTTGGATTTGAAATGTATTGTATTTACGATAGTAGTCGGTATTGTCTCTTAATTGAAATACTATAACAATACAGTAATAACGATAATAATGATGATGATGATGATGATGATAATAATAATAATAATAATAATAATAATAATAATAATAATTAATAATAATAATAATAATAATATGAAATATATTCTTTTAGTGAAACTATTTAAACTTTTACAGTAATATTCATGACAGGGCCTATTAATAATATGTATAATGATAGTATTATCATTATTATTATAAAATGCTATAATGTCAAGGATTGAATGATGAAAGCTGTCACAATTAGACTGTTATTGTATATTTATAGTTTTACTGAGATGGTGTTACAACTGTAATTGATGATTTTTATTTTTAAAACCCCGGAAAATATTGTGTATAGTTTGATGAAATTAAATTTGGGAATAGCGACTAAAGCCAGCTTTCCATAATGTCGATACAGTGTTTTCAGTGCGTTGTACTGCATAGCAGTACCCGATTCGACCGACCAATCAGCATCACCGAAAGAGCTGTCGGCAATAGCGTGTAACGATTGTATTGAAACCAAACTGATAAAGTAATGATGATAATTCGAAATTTATTTTGCTTTAAAATTATTAATTATATATCCTTAAACTTAAAAGTGCTTCAGTCTTCATTGTAAATATTTGGTAGAGAATAGTCTGTACATTATTAAACAGTAAAACTGTTACGGCCATAATTTATTGGGCTATCTTTGCTTTGGAAAATATATTAAATGAGGATTTATCATGACCCGGATGTCAAAGACTTTTGGGTCGTCGATTTTTGACAATTAAGTGACTTTTCAAGTGGAATTTGAGAAGCTTCATGAAAAAAAAGATGAAAATGTTTTTTTACGAAGGTTTGTTACACTGACGAAAATATTTAAGAAAAGATTAAAACATTTATACATAAAGTTGTCTATTCTTTGCTTTATAGTATAGTGAAAATCAGGGCCCCCGTGACCATTTTTCGGGAACCAAGGTTTCTCTGCTGATTTAGCATCACTAGGGTATAAATAAAAAAATGAGCGGGGTGGGGGAAACCTCCAGAAAATGGGCGGAACACATTCAGATATTGGCTCATAACTTCACTTAATTCAATAAAAAAAAAAGCGCAAATCTGGTGTCTAAGTATATGTTATTGGGGTCACTGAATTCAGTGAGACATGTTTCAAAACCTAAAATGGCAGCCATGTTGAAATTCAAGATGGCCGCCATAAAAATGGTCAAAATCGAATATTTCAGTATAATTCCAAATCTCCTCTATGAAAAATAGTGAATTTGGGTCTAATCAAATGTGTTTGTGCTCTCCCATTTGTTTTATTTATACCTAGTGATGCTAAATCAGCAGAGGAACCTTGGTTCCCGAAAATGGTCACGGGGCCCTGATTTTCACTATAATATCAAATGGGTACTTGAAAAAATATTATCATTGCGGGCAAGATACCATCATTCTCATCATTTTTCTTAATAATTATGGTAGTATTATTTATTATTTGTGATGATGATAATAATAATATTAAGAATGATTATTATTACTATTATCATTATCATTCTTGGTAATTTTTGGTTCCTTCCTTCTGTAGTGCCTTGAGCACTACTGCAGTGGATATGTGCGCTTTATAAATCTTAAATTAAATTAAATTAAATTATTATTATTATTATTATTATTATTGTTATTATTATTATTATTATTATTATTATTTATAATAATGAAAGGCCAAATAATCATTTTTATATATGCCACCTTGCAACCATGTTGATAATAAAATTCTTGATGCAATTTTGACAGCTTGAACACTAATAATAATATATAATTATAATAATAGTAATATAGAATAATAGTAATTTTCCATCGTAAGCTAATATGTAATAAGCAGTTTGTAGAAGGTTAAAACAAAACATACAGCACTGTATACAAAAATAATAATTAAATAATATAAATAACACTATTTATGATAATACTGTATAATAAAAATGAAGAGGACTAGAAGGAAAAGATTTAGATGATTATGATAATGAGATGGAAATTATGATGATGATGATGACAATAATGAGATGATGACAATGATGATGATGATGACGCCGACGACGACGAGTGAAGCTGTATAGCTTGGTGGTTAAAAGATAATGGGCTTTTAATCCTAGGATTACAATGCCTGTGACAGCAGGACTTTTTCTCACGACAAAAACTCCACTCCCTAAGCTTCATATAAAACTTTGATAGCATCGTTCCATGTTCCATGTGACTTACTTGCTGTTGGATGCGAATGAATTATAATAAAAGAATAATAATGATATAGTAGAACCCCTATTAATGAGACGCCTTCGGGACCAAAGGGTCACCTTAGTAGAGGTGTCCCCTGAATAGCGGTACCTCTTTAAGGGGACACTAACCAAAACGTGAAATTGTCCCCTTAATATGGGTTTTGGCACGTAATCATTTAATGAGGACATAGATTATTTTTAAATTTATTTCAGTTGACTTAAGTACGAGTTATACAATACATTCATTATCGAATCAAAGTAAATGTAATTAAATTAACAAAAGTTGTATATTATTCTAGATTCCAGTCCAGCAAGCAGCAACTACAGCAACAACAGCAACAAATGCAGCAATAAATACAACAACAACAACAATAATAATAATAATAATAATAATAATAATAATAATAATAATAATGATAAATACTGTAATAGTAATAAGAATACAAATAATAATAATAATAATTATAAATATAAATTAAAACTTTATTGTAGGCATGTTCACAATTTAATTTATATTTACAATTGTCAACCGGGATAGATGAATCTACATCAGTCAAATAATAATAATAATAATAATAATAATAATAATAATAATATAAATAAAAATAATAATAGTAAAAATAATAATAATAATAATATTAATAATAATAGCGCATATAAGCAAGCTCTCAATGCGCTGTACATAAAAACAGATAGAGGCCTATGAATATAATGTTAAATTAATATAATAAAAGTAATAATAAAAAAGAAACCTTGATGGACGTTTCACGGAAAAGTGTCCCTAGAATAGGGGTGTCCCAAAGGAGTGGTTTTACTGTAAGAATTACAGCATAGGCCTAATACACATCTATCTAGAAACCTACTCTGAGTAGGCCTATACTATACAAAAGTAGTCCGACTTCATTCTATTAGTTGTTATGCTACTCTTTACAACAACCGATGTCACAAAATCAAGGCAATTTAGAGGCAATCCAATATTGAAACATGTTTAAATATTACTACAATTTCAGAACTAACAATAATATATAACAAATAATTAAGCACAATTAATTTCGTAATTTTAACGGTTCTCCATCCTTGTAGAAGACTATGTGTACTGATCATTAGTGCTGTGTTCGTCTAATAAAGGGAGTGGTGTATACTAATATAACACTTGACCGCATTTATAATCACACTTAAACCACGTATGGTACAAAATTCGTGTTATGGCAACCGACTAAATTTGAAAAGAATAATGGAGTTTGGAGATAATTGATCTGCTACATTCTAAATTACCTTAATTATCATGCAAGTGCAAACACATAAACACGTGCTGCTGAGTAGACTAGTTAATAATTGAGGTCCAACAACATGAATGCGTATCGATAAATGACAATATCAATGATGTGCGTTGGTAATAATGCTGTAGGCATTAGAGAACAAAGTTATCTATTTCGTGAATTAGATCCTGTAGGTATTTTTGGCTTTTATGTTATCGTTTATGTGTTATTTATTATGTATTTATATTTATTTTATTATGTTTTATATATATATATATATATATATATATATAAGATGTGTATAAGAGACA